TGCAGGATCCCAGGGCAGAGGTGTTCCCTCCCACCCCAAGTCATCCACTCCTTCTGCCAACATCCAATAAACCCTCAATAAATGTCCTCCTTGTCAATCAGAAAACATGCTGTCTGCTCATTTATCCATGTTCCATCCTAAATTTGATTATCTCCAACCAAAGGTGAACGGAGTCCTTTGAACTTGTAACAATGCTCCCTGGGAGCATCCTGATGTTTCTCTGAGTCATACTTTTTCCATCACCCCATCCCCATAGAATGTTCCAGAATAAGGAAATAGTCTTCAGAAGGACCCAGGCATCTTCATTCTTACCCATGTCTCCACTGTGCTTCCTGCTGCCCTGTGAGCACATCCAACTCTGGCTGCCCAGGGACACACCCTCCTTACATCCCTACGGCCCTGGGAGAACATCTCAGCTCCCTTCTTTGTTGCCCTTGGCCCTCACTGTCCAGATGCCATCCCTCTCTCAAGGTGTTTGTCCATCCCCCTCCAAGGCCATGTGGTCACCCCACCTGTATTCTTCATCGAAGCCTAGACCATCTCCCCTTCTCCATGGGCACACTCTGTTCCCGTCATCCCAGGGACCCTACCCTCCACCCCCACAAACCCCCCTTGTAACAATCACTGATGGGACGCTTACCCCCTCGACCCTAGTCACTCACCCCACATCCCCCTCTGGGTGCCTCTCATCCCAGGTGTCACTGGATGTCCCAGCTGTATTCAACATTTGCAGGGGACAAGGGTCAGCTCTGCTCCTCACTGACGCCACTATGAAAGTCTAATGTCCTGCTGGGCACAAGTGGTCAAATGACTGATGAGTTCGAAGTCAAGAGTCAGGTTCTGGGGTTACGCCAGGAGCTTGGGTGAAACTGATTTGTCTTCTGAAGAACTCAACATGGGATCTGAGCTGTAATACGCACACACGTGCACTCGCACACCATGCACACAAACATACATGTTCATGTTGGGCATCTTTCTGGAAGGATCAGGAAGGGCCCAGGTAGAAGGGGCTGCAGTCAGGCCCAGGTCAGGACACGAGCAAAGCAAATCTGGGACCTGCAGTCTCCAGGCTTTGGGACTAGGGGGTCACCCCTGGATATGGGAGGGTGGGGCAGGGTTTTCTGTCCAGGCCAAGGGTAAGACAGAAGATGTGGAAGGGATTCTGATCAGGGATCAGCAGGCCACATCTCAGCGGTGAGGGGAGGTGCTTGCTGTGGGGAATACTGTTGGAGACGGCAGGGTGCCAGGTGTGTGTCCCAGGTGTGAGCTCTTCAGGTGATGGGCCCAGACCAGGATGCAGGTCCAGGCTGTGTGTGTTCAGGCCCTGCACTGCACATGTCCATCCACTGTGGGTGCCCCCCGTGCTGGTGACACTCCTGAGCACAAGCTGTGTAGGTAACCCATGCATGTAGGATATGTGTGTAAGCTGAGGGAGCTGAAGGGGACGCAGAGACCCCACACACCTAGAGCTCCTGGAGGAAACCACACTGCCAGTGAGGCCTATGGCCTCCCTTGAGGAGCTCTCCTCTGGGCCACTGCAGCTCTAATCCAGCACACACCCCACAGGTAGGAAGCTGTCCTCATAGGCTCAGGAGGGGGACCTGGGCAGTGACCTGTGAGCTGCTCCTTCAGGACAGCTGTGCCAAGGATGCTGGAGCTCAGGCCTTACAGTGGGGTCTGTGTCCCTGTGGTCAACGTCATTCTCCGCACAACCCCAGTCCCCATTCCAAGCCTATCCCACCATGACCTCCAGTGCTGAGGATGTGGGGGGCATCAAGGACCCTCCCCACCATTCCCAATCTCTCAAAGGGGTCCCAGATGCACCATGTCAGTGGTATCACCGAACCGCTCACCTCCTCCTCCTCCCTGGTATTCCTGACACCAGCTGATCCAAGCCACAAAACTCCCCCTCAGAAATGCAATTACCTGGGAGACAATTCCACACAGACCTGTCAACCCTTCCCATGACTTGGGTGGATAACTCCCACGCCCCCAAGGAAATGATATTCGGGTCAGTAGAAGGTGACCCCTTCACCCCACCTGTGGCTCACCCACCCATGAGAAAAAGGGGCTGGACCCTGCATCTTGTGAGCAGCTGCAGGGTTGCAGGGGGGTTGGGTCGGGTGTATTAGGAGGGTTTGTGTGCAGGGTTATGTCACAGTGTGATGTGTTCGGAAGTGGCACCAAGTTGACCGTCCTCGGTGAGTCCCCTTTTCTATTCTTTTGGGTCTAGGGTGAGATCTGGGGAGACTTTTCTCACCTTTCTGTTCTCTCTAGGGCAGGGGTCTCAATCTCTCTGGGGTCTGCCACCATTGCCTTTTCTCCTGGCTCTAAACTCCTCCGGCCTGTCCCTTCTTAGGCACTTGGTGGGGCATGATGGGAAGATCCCAGTGACCTTTTCCTGCTCCCTGCTGAGGCCTGAACCTGCCGCTCTCACTTACAGGGCATTCTCCCCTCGGCTCTGGGATGTTCTGCTCCCTCACACGGAGGCTCCTGGCCCCAAAGACCAGCAGAGCAGGGGCCCTGGCTAGGGCACCAGGGCCGTGGGACAGGAGAAGGATGCTGGAAACAGTTCAGCTTCCTAGGGTTCTGGGTCCCAACTATGGGGCTGCTTTAAAAACCAAGAAGGGAGACCTTTGACTGGGGACTTGGGGAAATGAAGGGGGGACAAGGATGGAGAAAAAATGTCCTGTGAGGTGGCCCCAGGGTGCTGGGTCCCTCCTCCCCCAGGACAGACAGGCTGCCATGGACAGGGTGGTTCTCAGGATATTCAGGCCAAGGTTAGAGCCTTCCCATCCTACCAAAAAGGAGAGACCCCAAAGCAGGTGCTGAGGGAGGCACTCCTCGTGGGCACAGGTGACAGGGACCAGTCAGGACAGACAGATGTCTTAGCACAGCCAGATTTCCCAATATGATAAGGAGACCCCATATAGCAGACACAGCGCTAGGCTCAGAACAGAAAATATACTTCCCATGAAAGCCCTCCAACTCCTGGACTCCCAGGGAGCCGGCTCCTGGGACTGACACCCCGTCCCCACCGAGGGGCCCCTGTGGGAAAGTGGGGCAGAGACTGCAATGATGGTGCCAGGGGGACAAATGGGAAAGAAACTCACTCATCAAAAGGGAGGAGAACCTAAAGACAGGACACAGATGCCCTCATGAGTAGACCCAGAGGAGGGACCTGGCAGGGGATGTTCAGACAGAGACGTCCCCCAAGGAAAGATGAGGGCCCATGGCTGAACCCAACCAGCGTCAGGGAGCACAGGTGAAGTGAGAGCTGGGTGATAAGGAGGGGAGAATCTGAAGAGGAGGCTGGACAAAAGAGGCCTGATTCTCCTCAGTCCTCAGATGCTGAGGAATTTCCCACCAGGAGGTGAGGGTCCCCACCACTGCCAAGTTGACCTCAGTATAGCAAGACCCGGCCTAAGGTCCCTATCCTGGGCCTTAGTCCTTCATCCACCTGAAAACTGGCGTCAGGGGCTCCCCAGGTGGACACTAGGACTCTGACACCCCTCCCCTTCATCCACCCCGCAGGTCAGCCCAAGGCTTCCCCCTTGGTCACTCTGTTCCCGCCCTCCTCTGAGGAGCTCCAAGCCAACAAGGCCACACTAGTGTGTCTGATCAGTGACTTCTACCCGGGAGTCGTGAAAGTGGCCTGGAAAGCAGATGGCAACTCCGTCAACACGGGAGTGGAGACCACCACACCCTCCAAACAGAGCAACAACAAGTACGCGGCCAGCAGCTACCTGAGCCTGACGTCCGACCAGTGGAAGTCCCACAAGAGCTACAGTTGCCAGGTCACGCACGAAGGGAGCACCGTGGAGAAGACAGTGGCCCCTGCAGAATGTTCATAGGTTCCTACCCCTCACCCCACCCACAGGGGCCTGGAGCTGCAGGATCCCAGGAGAGGGGTCTCTGCATCCCAAGCCATCCAGCCCTTCTCCCTGCACTCAATAAACCTTCAATAAATATCTTTAGTCATCCAAAAACCTTGGGTTTTGTGTTTTGTTTCTGTTTATACATTTTCTACCCGAAATTGGTCCAACCTGCAAGATGAACAAAATTATTTTAGACTTGTGAGAATGGAGTCTGGATTGTTTCTGAGAGGTAGTTCCACCATCACCTAGAAAGGCCCAGAGAACATTCCAGAACACAGCCTTGAGAAGCAGGTCCCAGGATTGCCCCTCTTTCCTATACGTGTTGTGCTTGTGTGGACATGTCCACCTCCAGCAGCCTGGGGCGAGCTCTCCTTGGTTCCCCATGGCCTCCAGAAGAACGAGTTCCCTCCACGGATCATCAGGTCTCACTCCCTGGACAGTCTCCCTCTCTCAAGGAGTCCTTCCTTGAGAAGTCCTTCCTTCTCAGCAGCCTTTCCAATCCACGAGTCCTTGGTCTCCCCTACTCCTTAGGGGCCCACCCTGTTCCTGACTCCCAGGACCCTGCCCTCTACCCCCACATCTATCTCTGAAGCAGGCACAGCCTGGACCCTGATCGTCTGGACCCAAGTCACACACCCCACAGGCCAGCTGGGTACCCTTGGTCCCACATGTGTCACCAGTGTCCCTGTTATACTCAAGTGCCCAGGGAAATAAGGGTCAACTCCACGCTCACCCCTAAGTAGTCAGTCCAAAACTGACCACACCTCAAATACCTAATGTCCAGTTACCCATGGATGGTCAGTGGGGCTGGGGAGGTCAAGGTCAATCAAGAGATTCCGGAGTGGTGCCATAGACGTGCCTGTAAACCAATTGGTCTTTTTAAGAGCTGTATGTGGGATCTAAGAACCGGGCTGATTATTGTCCTGGAAGGTAGCACAGGATGAGGGGCCTGGGCAATGAAACAAACACACATACACACATATTCACAAACATAAACACACATGAACATCTCTAGGCACACAGGTATTCACAAACAAACTTGCCTGCATGCAAATACACACACGCACACACACCCTCCTGTGCTATTTAGAATCATTGCCACATGGGCATCCCACTGGGGCTGTGCTGGGCATCCAGAGGACTCGGTTCTCCAATGGGGACCAGCTCCACATTCCATGTGGCATAAACAGGCTTCTGACTTCTTCCATGGTGACAGTCTCCAAAGGAGCTGAGCTGGGACACATGGCTTCCTCCAGGACGAAGAGTAGCAGGGGACCCAGATGTGATGTGCAGACATGCCTCCTCCCTCTCCCCTCTCCCTCTCCCTCTGGGGGTGGAGGGATCCCTAACTTCCAGTCAAGTGTGCATGCATGCATGGAGGGGCCATCCACCTCACCCTCCTATCGGCCAGATATGCTTCACAACAGGGCCGCTGGACCTGGGCGCCCAAGCAGCTGCAGCGGGGAACGGGTCAGGTGTGTCAGGAGGGGTTTGTGTGTGGGGCTGTGTCACTGTGTGTTATGTTCGGAAGAGGCACCAGGCTGACCGACATCGGTAAGTTTCTCCGCTTCTCTCCTCTCTGAGATCCCAAGTGAAATGTGGGGAGATTTTTCCCTTTCCTGTCTGTCTAAGGCTAAGGTCTCAGCCTGCCTGGGTGTCTGGAATCTTTGCCCCTCCTCGCCTGGGCTCCTGGGTCAGTGTTGTCACCCATCCTCTCCTGGGGTTCTGGCCTCTCCTGTGGTTCTGTCCTCTGTAGGTCCCAGTTATGGGGCTGCATTAAACAGTGACAAGAGGCCTCTGACTGAGGATGTGGAGAGATGGGGAAGGAAATGGGAGGAGGAAAAGACAGAGGAAGAATATCCTGTGAGAAGGTGGCCCCACAGTGCTGGGTCGCACTCCCTCCCCCAAGACAGGCAGGACACCATGGACAGGGTGGTGGGTCTCAGAAAACAGGCCCTAAACATGGACCCTTACCAATTCCTCCACTGGAGGAAGACCCCAAAGCAGATGGCCAGGACAAGGACTCCTGGTAGGGACAGTGACTGGGACAGATGCCTGCTTGTCAGGGAAACCCACTGGAGAGTCAGATGCCCCATGTAACTTCTCACAACATGAAAACTCTTTCGAACATACGCAGTTCCACATTCAACTCAGGGAGTCAAAAAAAAAAAAAAAAAGTCCTCAATTGGAAGTCTTTGATCTACTGGAATCCATCCCTCAGGACTGACACCCTCTCACCAGGCAGACCAGAGGGGTCTCTGCAGGGAGGTGGGGTGGGGGCTGCAATGATGGCGCCAGGGGGATGTGTGGGGAAGAAACCCACTCCCGTGAGAGAGAAGAGCCAGAACCGAGGACAAACAGCTGCCCTGTATGAAGAGACAAGAACAAGGGGAACTGGTAGGAGGCACTGAGACAGATACCCCCAAGACAGACAGATACCCAGGGTGAGATGTGGTCCTGGACTCCATCCCATCCATTGTGGAGCGAGCACAGGTAGGGTCTGTAGATGATGGAACATATGAAAAACAGACAGATCCAAGAGGGGGTCTGTGACTCCCCAAGAGTGGGGGGCACTGAAGAGCCTCCCATCTGAGAGGGAGTGTCTCCACTCACCGCTGGCCTGACCTCAGTCCAGCAAGTGTTCGGCCTGAGGTCCCTGCCCTGGGCCTTAGTCCCATGCCCACTTCAAGACTGAGGTCAGGGGTTCCCCAGGTGGACACCGGGACTCTGACCCCCCCCTCCCCCTCATCCACCCCGCAGGTCACCCCAAGGCTTCCCCCTTGGTCACTCTGTTTCCGCCCTCCTCTGAGGAGCTCCAAGCCAACAAGGCCACACTAGTGTGTCTGATCAGTGACTTCTACCCGGGAGCCGTGGAAGTGGCCTGGAAGGCAGATGGCAGCCCCGTCAACATGGGAGTGGAGACCACCACACCCTCCAAACAGAGCAACAACAAGTACGCGGCCAGCAGCTACCTGAGCCTGAAGTCCGACCAGTGGAGGTCCCACAACAGCTACAGCTGCCAGGTCACGCACGAAGGGAGCACCGTGGAGAAGACAGTGGGCCGTGCAGAATGCTCTTAGGCCCCTGACCCTTACCCCAGCCACAGGGGCCTGGAGCTGCAGGATCCCAGGGGAGGGGTCTCTCTCCCCATCCCAAGTCATCCATCCCTTCTCAATAAATATCCTCATTGTCAACCAGAAATCCTGCTCCTTCTCTTTTTTATCTCACATATAATTTGAGGCTTCCCCTGCGTTCTCAGTGTTGGGTGGGGGGAATCCTGGCACCCAGTGGGAAAGTAGCCCTGAGGGAGAGTCTCATAGCCTCCCAGGGTGTCTCCTAATGAAATAGGCCAGGATAGGAGAAATCTGATCACTGAACACCAGTCCCTCTGCCCTTTCACTCCTCCCCCTTCTCCTCAAAGCACAGCCCCCCTCTCCCTGCCTCCTTCCTGGAAGGAGTTGTCTCTGGCTGGACCTCCAGTTACACACTCTTATCTCTGCCCTAACAGAGATCCTTCACCCACCATCTCTTTTCCCAGCCTGAAAACCCTGCTCCAGGCCTGGAGCCTCTTTGCCCCTGGCCCTCCTCCCTCTGTGCCCAGCTCAGCTCCCACCCACCCTCGCCCCCTCCCTTTCATCCCTGAGAGCCAGACTGTCCAGGACACTCCAGCACCACTGACTTCTCAAGCTCTTAAATGAGGGATCCACCTCAATTCCGAACCTGACAGCAGGTTCAGACACCTAAGAGGAATTGGAGGAAGCCAGGAAGGAAACACACAAAAGGCCTACAGGAGGCTCTGGACGCTTGCAAGAGACAAGCTCTGAACTGCCTAGGAACTAGTGCAAGGAAGGTAATACGCACTTCATCATTTCTGTAAGTTTAAACAAACCCTTTGCTGAAGGGAAGGTGGTGCTCTCAAGGCTGAGGCCAGGGATCTCTTCACAACTAAAAGTGGGAAGATGTTCTCTCCAAGGCCTCAGTAGTAATGGGATTTGAACCCTGAGGCATGCACAGGTAACTGTCTGGCAGCCCTAAGACATGGTGATTCTCTCAAGTGCATGAACAGAAAAGTCACTGGCCATCTTTGGGAACATCATTTTTGGGAACACTTCTCCATGGGATCCCGGGCCTTCACTGGAAAACCAGGTCCGTCTTCAGGACTTTCTCTGCGAGGTTCCCTGAGTCTGGGGCTCCAGCTGCTCTCTCAGAGGAAGGTGTCGGTGGATAGAAGACGACCCAGCTCCACCCAGCCCTCCCTGCATGGTCCCTCCTCTGTAGAGTGGGGGCGCCTGCAGGGGTCAGGCCTGGGTCACGATGGGTGAGGCCTGGGAGGGGGGCCCTCGTGGCATCCTGGGGAGTCTCTCCCACGGCTCCTGTTTGACTTTCCTCTGGTTGTTATCACAAATGACCCCTAAATTAGTGCTTAAAACATCACACATTGATTCTCTCCTAGGTCTGGAGGTCAGAAGTCCAAAATCAGTCCTCGATAGCTAAAATCAGGGTCCCAGCAGGGCAGGCTCCTTCTAGGGACTCTGGGGAGAATTCGTTTCCAGGACTTTTCCAGGTTCTAGAGAACAAACTCAGCTCCTGGCTCCTTCCTCCAACTTCAGAGTCAGAGCTCAGCCTCTTCAAATCTGTCTCCTGCTCTTCTCTCCCTCCCTACCTACCTTCCCCTCTCTCTCTCTTCCTTCCTCTCTCTCTCTCCCTCCATCCCCACATGTCTCTCACTCTGACCCTCCTACCTCCCTCTTTCTTTTATAAAGACCCCAGCTTGGACCCACCTGGATACTCCAGGATCATTTCCCACCTCAGACTCCTTAACGCCATCACATCTGCAAAGTCCCTGTGGTCACACAACATGACACATAGGTCCAGGACTGGGACATGACTGTCCTGGGGGGCCTAATTCAGATGACCACAGCTCCTTTCCCGAGTTCCTCTTCCTTTCTCTGTGCCCTGCCCAGTCCAGACTGAGCGACTCCTGGATGCTGTCCCAGTCCAGCCCCAGCCCTTCCTGTCCCTGGTCTTTTGTGGCCCCTTCTCCTCCTGGGGTTCCAGGAAGATACTGGGAGTTTAGCCACAGCTCCAGGGCACTGTCTTCCAGCAGGCCCCCTGAGGCTAAATGCTCTCCAGGACAAGCCACCCTTAGAGGAAGATCCTGTTGTGATCCTCACCCTAGGATGGTGACACCACAGCCCAGAGAGCCTCAGTGACCTTCCACAGGCCACAGCAGGGATTCAAACCTGGCCTGCCCAACTCCAGACCTCAGCTCTGGACCCCAGGTGCCTTTTTGCCCTCAGGCCACCTGGCCACGCCCACCCACTTCATCCCACTGCCCTGGTTACAGGCCTCCCTGTCTTTCTCCATGTGGAGGAAAGGCTCCCAGGATATTCCAGGGCTCCAGGTTCTGATGAGAGTGTGGGAGGGGACCAAATACCCAGCCTCAGGGCCTGGGTTCACCCCTGCAGATGGCAAATCCCATCCACCCGTGGGAGTTCACCAGTTCCTTCTTAGAAGACACCAGCCTGTAGCTACCTTGGCCCAGGAAAGTCAGGAGCCACCACACATGGCCATGGCACATGTCACCTGATACATGAGATGCAAAGTGTAAGTTGGATGGGCCAGGGATGAGTGCCCCCAACTCTGCCTTCCTCCCCACAGGCCCACCCACGAGGCTAAGCAGGGTGGCCCTAGACCCAGCCATCTTCAATCTGTTCATCCACTGGCATCCCCACCACCGTCCCCTCAACATGCACAGGATGCCAGCCACCCAGGCCAGTTCCTGAGGTGAAGCAAGTGACGGGGGTACTTGTTCCTGCCCAGCCCAGAGTTCAGACTGCAGATGAGACCCCCTTGAAGAAAACAAGGGGCAGGGGATACTGGGGATTCCTTGTGGTCAGCAGAGGTGGCCTGGTGGCAGCAGCAACCTCAAATTGGCCCAGGATCTGGACCAAGGGCTGGAGGACAGAGAGAGGACAGGTGTGTTAGAGAGGTGAGTGGGAGCAAAGATATAGGAGTGACCACAGCGCCCCTTCTTCCCACAGGGCCACAGCAGTGCACAAGAGCCCTAATGGAAGAAATCTGGAAGCTCACCTCAAAGACCCCATACTCTGTCCCCCATGTCACTTGGCCTGCCACCCTACTTAATACCCAGGAAATCCTTGGAGTCTGTGTCACATAGGTGGGCTTCCTCCCTGGAGAGCTCAGAGCCCACTAGACCCAGGCCCCCATCCCGGGACCCGGGATTCAAGTGACAAGAGTTATTGGGCCAACAAGGGATGGAGGGGGAGAGGGGCCTTGGGTTGGAGAAGCCAGATTCCTCATGCCCCTTCTCCTTCCTCTGGATCAAATATCATGGTCAGGGCACTTGGGGGAGGGGCCAGGAGAGAATCCCCTCTTCCTAGAAACCCCATCCCATTCCTGGTTCTGGATCCAGGGTTTTCAGTGTCCCCCACCTCCAGGAGAGTCAGTCCCTGGCAGGTGGCTCCCCAAGCCCAATCCCCTCCATTCCTGTTCCCAGTGGCTCCCTCAAGATCCAAAACTTCGTGACAACATCTTCAGTCAGGGACTGCCCTTCCAAAGGAGGAGCACATGGAGCTCTGGGTCTGGGGCCCCAGCACCGAGCACAGTAGATGTTCGAGGGGGCTGTTGAGTGGTGGCATGTGAGACTCTTTGTAGAACCCCAGATTCAGGTTCATGTGCCCGATATGCAGCTGAGGTCCAGCACTGAGACGTAAGTGCTTAAGGATAGACAAAGATTTATTTGATTTGGCCAAAGTAAGAAGGCAGGAGAGAAAATCCCTCAACTCCATGTTAGCAAAAGGATGAAGCAGGGAGTTTCTATGTGGCCAAGGAGTGAGGGAGGTGGCATTTCAGGGGAAAAGTCGTGTGTTTCTTCAGTCTCAGGTAATACCTTAAGCAACCAGATTTGTGGGCAACAGGGACTGGTCTCTATGTCCTTAAAGACATTCACTCCTACAAAATACTTCTGTGACTCTGAAGTTATCTCCTCCTCCTCCTTGACAAAGAAACAGGACATCCGCAGCTTATGATCATGTTGTGTGAACAAGGGATGCTGGGCAAAAAGCAAGCAGTTAACATGTACAAGCAGGCAAGGGCCAAATCAGAATTTTCTTTATTTCAGTCACAAAAATGCTGGGTACTGAAATCTCAACACACCTGGTGTCACTCCCAGAGCACAGGCTAGGACAACACACACCTGTCCCTGGAGAACTCCGGGCCAGTTCCCCCTTCTCCCACTGCTGACCCCCTCTTAGTCCACTTCAGCTCCTCCCTTCCCCGACCGGAGAACCTCCGAGGGTTTCCATTTCCTCCAGGATAGCACGTGCTGCCCTGTAAGGAGTCGCTAAAGTGAAGAGCAAGGAGGCAGGGGGCTTTCGAGCAAGAAGAGACCTGACTTCAGAGACCCTCAGTCCCCAAGACAGACGCACGCCCGTCAAGGGAGCGGCCATCCCAGGCTGTCAGGATGGGAGCACGTGGTCCTCTTCAACCCACCTCCTGAACCTCCTCTACTCCCCGCACCCATTTCCCTGTGGCCCCCATTTCCCTATCGTCACTGTAATTGAACCCCACTCCAGTCCCCTTCCCCAGTGACTCTTAGAGCTGGGGTTGATGCTGGAGCTGGAGTAGTGACCAGCCCCTGGTGACCCTGGCCCCATCCAGGTACCAGGCCACTGGCCACCAATCAACGATGGTTTCCCGAGCACCCATATGTGCCCAGCCTGGGCTTGGGACCCAGACCTAGCCCTGCCTGGCCTGCTGCAGCAGTAACGGTGGGCTCTTCCTGGAGAGAACCTGGTCCAGTCTCTCTGCCCCACCATCTCACTATGAAGGGCCAGGGACCCTCCTGATGATCACCTTAGGGCAAGCACAGATGTGATCCTTCCAGGAAGTAATAAAATGTGGATGCTGCCTTCCCTCTGGCTGCCACCTCCCTCTCTCCTGCCTTTCACAAGTGGTAATCAAGGGCTGCTGGGCTCCACAGTCCCCTCCTTCCTGCCTCAAGCCCAGCGGTCTCACCGCCACCCCATCACAGCCCCATTGGCCTGCAAGCAGCTCAATCCAAGAGTCCCCTCACTGTCCTCCTTCTGCTGACCTCTGAATGGGCTTGGCAACTCATGTCGCTCTTGTCCTCTTGAAGTCCCTCACCCACCTACCCCCCCCCAGGTCCTCTCCTCTAT